GCCCCCTGGGACTCAAACGCAGTGTCCAGCATAGAAGCCCCGCCTTTATTACTAGCAGTCAGAGTGACAAAAGCACTCTCCTGTATCTCTGTATTATCAAGGACTTGTTTGAGGGTAGTCATAGTGAACAGATGGAGACAGCCTATGAAGACCACAGCACTGGTTGGTAGAGGGTAGGAGAGATGTAGAGACGTGAATGCTGAACCTGTCGAGGCGAGACTTGAAGCAGGAAGGTATAAATATCACAACAAGTGAATGATCTGATCGGAAGGGCCGGGGCAGGTGAGCACGGAAGTGAATGGCAAGTGCATCAAGACCTAATACTAGATGGAAAGTACCGTTCACAAGCGGAACTTGCCGTGTGCAATAGGAAGTGCTATACATTCGGATTATAATCCTTAAACCCAGACAATAAAGGCACTGAAATACGCAGCCCCCAGTGTCACTTTGCTCGAGTGGCACATTCAAACCCGCTCATTCTTTCCTGACACGCATGGTGACACCCCCAGTAAGGTTATGCCTTTGCTGGAATATTCGTGCATTGTGCCATAGAAGCCCATCAGCCATGCGCTCAGAAACAGAGTAAGATTAGATTTGAAAATAGAATGCCCAAGAGATCCTTTGCTGCGCAAAGCGGCATCATACAGCCACGTCGGCAAGGGCTGTCGTCCTTCGAGGACTATGAGGTCCTCAGTCTGATTGCTCAATTTCGGCCGGGGTTGGAGGGCTGATGGAAGAACAAGCCATGAACGACCGAGGCGAAAACCTGCCATTCGTTCGCTCCAGTCGGAGTGACCTACTTTTCAGTCGCATCCTCGGACACAGCATGAGCCCGTTCGACCTATTCGTCGTCTCGAACCATTCCGTCTTAAGGCATACCAAGGTCAGACACTGGTCAGTTTGAGACACCGAAGAGGGGCTTCGGCCCATGCTGCATAACGTTTGAGGACATGACTCCCAATTTGTCCTTGTGTTACCTCCTGACATGGCCAAGTAGCAACGAGGCGGCAAGGATTGAGGGGTTTTTCGCTGAGACGATCGGCTATCTTGGAGATTGGTGAACTTGGCGGGACAATTGCCCATGTCCTTGGTAAGTGGCAATAATTGAGTGTCAGCCTGGTCGACTTTTCTACCCGCAGCCTCCGTGATTCCATGAGCACAGAAAAGCTTGTTGTTGGTGCAACTCTCCTACTTCAAGACTGCCCTGTGTGTTCTGATAAACTGTCTTGCGGCTCGGTCAAGATCGACTCTCCATGCTGCGAGATGTCTCCAGTTGTGCTCCACAAGGTTCTGGAACTTTTGGATGGGACGGCCATCATTCGACTAATCGATTCTCCCACTGATGACAGTCCCCGCAATTGCTCCGGCATGGTTGCTACTGTGGGGGCCGATCACTTCCACTGTAGTCTGTAGTTGACTGGACAATGGCAACAACCCAAGATAGGCCTGTTTTGTTTGGCTTCGAATAACACATGCTTCTCATGCAAGTCGAGGATAGTATGACTGCAGGTAGGTAGCATTGCATGAATCGGAAGTTCAGCAAACGAAATGACGGTAACTGTGGATGAAATCGGATGAAGACTGAGAGGTGTTCGATGAGAAAGTCCCAAATGCACGCGGGTGGAGTTATTAGGCCTAGCTCGGGATACTCCGTAGTCCGTATTGTCTCGTGCTCCACCTTGACTTCTCTCGTTTCTCTCCTTCTCACCTGTTGGATGAGATGAGGCTTTCAATACAGGAGAATCGCCGGAATGCGACTTTGCATCTAACTATCATTGATACAAAGACGATGAATCTGATAGACTCCTCCAGGGAATATCCATGTTGGTTGATGCGCAACCACCCGAGGTAGAGCCTAAGAGAGATCGAAAGTGGACGGCCTGACAGGACAAGCTGCTGCAAGCCGTTCGTTCTCATCCATTCAGAATTGATGAAACCCATGGCCATCAGGATGACCGGCTCTCGAGCCCGTTTCCCAGCTCTTCTCTTCATTGGAGCACAACACTAGACCGACATGTCTTTAGTCGCCTGTCCCTAGGCATGGGCTTGGCCAGCCGCTACACTAAAGCACCGTTCGGGTTCGGCCGTGTTATTGGATTCCCCGATGTCTGGATTCTGGCCTGGCTCGTGCCTCCCAGCTTACGAAGGTCTCCCCAAGTCCCCATGATTATCATTTTATGCTTTTCCGTCATTCGATCTCGGCCACCCCTCCCTAACCTTGACCAACCACTCGAATGCGCCCCCCGTCTCTCAGAGAACCCCCGCAGATCAAATGCCAGACGGAAAAATTGTGAGACCAGAAAAATGGCGTGGGATAGATTGCTCGAGGATTATTTAAGATAGAAAGGCAGCTATCTCCAAAATGTGGTTTTTCCGTTCTTTGCTTTCGAACGTCTCCTCACTGTCTCTGTGGGGCTTACCGTCCGCTTTACTGTCTGTCCCAAGCCATCGCACGGAGTTCACTGTTGCTCCCGAGTCCTGAGCATAGGCCCAGCCCATAAGATCAGGCAATCATGCAGCCCTCAGAGATCTTTGTGGGATCGATTGATCAGGGTACAACCAGCTCCAGATTCCTGATTTTCAACCGAGACGGTGAGCCTGTAGCATCACATCAGGTCGAGTTTACACAGATCTACCCCAATCCCGGGTATGTCCACTCGAGATGAGCTCGTTTAGCGGCATTGATGCTGATTGACCGGTCCACAGATGGCATGAACACGACCCATTTGAGCTGGTGTCTTCCGTTGAGACGTGCATCGAAGAAGCGGTCAAACAGTTTGAATCGGAGGGCTACTCCCGGTACAGTATCAAGGCGATCGGCATCACAAACCAGCGGGAGACTACCGTCGTTTGGGACCATGAAACGGGCGAGCCACTCTACAACGCGATCGTCTGGACAGATACGCGGCCGCAAGCTATAGTTCATGAGTTGAAGCAAAAGCGCGAGGCTTCGCAATTGCAACAGATTTGTGGTCTTCCGCTGACAACATATTCATCCGCCCCGAAGCTCCTCTGGATGCTAGAACATGTGCCCAAAGTTAAAGATGCGTACGAGCGAGGCACATTGGCGTTCGGTACGGTAGATGCGTGGCTTGTATACCGTTTGAATGGTGGCGTATCCGCAAACGTGTTTGTATCCGATCCTACAAACGCTTCACGGACGATGTTTATGAACCTTGAGACCCTCCAATACGACAACTTCCTCCTGGACTTTTTTGGTATCAAAGGAAAAGTCCACCTGCCGAAGATTGTGCCTTCTTCAGACGCCAAAGCTTACGGAGCACTGGCATCTGGAATACTTGCTGGCGTTCCGATTATGGGCTGCCTTGGTGACCAGTCTTCGGCGCTTGTAGGACAAAAGGGCTTTTCGCCAGGAATGGCGAAGAACACCTACGGAACGGGCTGCTTCCTTCTGTATAATGTTGGAGAAAAGCCAGTCATTTCCAAGCATGGACTTCTGGCTACTGTGGCGTACCACTTCGATGGCAAGCCGGTCTATGCCCTTGAGGGCAGCATTGCAGTCGCCGGATCTGGCATCAAATTCCTACAAAATAACTTGAACTTTTTCCAAGAGTCCAAGGAAGTGAACGATTTGGCTCAGGCGGTAGAAGACAGTGGAGGCTGTGTGTTTGTCACTGCGTTCAGTGGTCTCTATGCGCCTTACTGGATTGACGATGCAAAGGGGACAATGTGTAAGGCAATTAGGGTTAAATCTCCTTTTGATCTGCACTGACTTCCCCGGCAGTTGGTATCACACAGTACACCCAAAAGGGCCACATTGCCCGGGCGACGCTAGAGGCCACCTGCTTTCAGACAAAGGCCATCTTGGACGCAATGGAGAAAGACAGTGGACATGCGCTGTCAGAATTGGCGGTCGATGGAGGCATGAGCAACTCAGACCTTGCGATGCAGGTATAGAACTTGAGCCCTTTCATTTTCAGTTCTCGAAGCTAATATCCGACTAGATTCAAGCAGATCTCATCTCGATCCCGGTGTATCGCCCCAAGATGCGGGAAACCACTGCACTTGGTGCGGCCATAGCCGCAGGTCTGGCGGTAGGACTGTGGAGAAATTTCGCTGAACTGCGAGACATTAACCGTGCCGGAGGAGCCGTCTTTGAGCCCAAGGTCAGTCGCGAAGAAAGCGCCAAGTCATTCGCAAGATGGGAAAAGGCCGTGACAATGTGCAAGGGCTGGTCTGGAGATGAGCCACCACCTCCAGTGCAACCTGCTCAGAAAGAGACCAAGAAAAACGCTCCTGAGGTGGTGACGAGCAACAATGCTATCAATGTTACGCCTCCAAAGCTCAACGGCGAGCTTGCCATACCAAAACTCCCTTTGATAAGTATCTCTGGGGACTTGGAGGACGCCGACGAGGAAGACCTGTACCTGGAGCTGCGAAAGGTGGAGATCCTACAGAGGCTCAAGAAACTCCGGAAACTCAAGCTTTCTTTTTACTGAGCATCTCATGCTCCCATGTTTAACGTTTTCTTGGGGATCTGTATCTGTAGGATGTTCATATTATGGTCATGAGAATTAACGAAGTAGTTTTTCTTATAGGAGGAGGCGATGCTTATTTCCCTCCTACGCCTTACTCCGGTGAACCATTGATTGCTATGCGCATCCTTGTTCATTTGCCTGAATGGGCTTCTTATGTCGCACAACCACCTCCACTGCTGATGTGAGATTTAGGTTTCAACTGGCCCCTCTGGCTCTTGCGCCTTTTTTGCTTTTGTACTGAGGGGCATACATACTGCTATCTTGTGCTGCTGATTGTTTGCTATCAGCTGCGCTTAGGTCCACGATATACAGTCTAATACTGCATAGCGGAACCTATCTAATTGTGCATAAAAGAAGTACCATAGCTTGTGCTCAATTTCTGTGCTTTGGGTGTATGGGATTCGTATTCGTAGGATATAGTGCGTGCTATGTCCATATCCATAACTCGTGCAAACGCGTTACTATAAAATCTAAACAACGGAGAGAAGTCGCATTAAGATCTCAATTCTCCTTGGTCGGTAAAGTACCCTCGTCCTCTCGCACGAAAACACAATTCAGTTCTGAACCAGGGCTAAGGGTAACCTCAAACTTCAGCACAGGATCCTCGACCCGCTCCTTCTCATTGGCCGGCATGGCCTGGATCCTCTCAAAGGCTTGCAGGATCCTCACAACGGTGTAACCCATTTCGATGGTAGCAAATTGCTGACCGAGGCAGATCCTCGGCCCCCCATTGAAGGGGATAAATTGCCAGGGTTTGGGCTGCCACCCGGACAGCCACCGGTCAGGCAACCATTTCTCTGGATCGAAGTAGTTCGGCGAGCCCGGGGGTTCGTAGTTCTCTGCGCTTCGCTGCATGATCATCGCCGAGTAGATGACGCGCGTGTTGGCGCGGACACCGACTGGCGAGAGGCCGTCGGGCCCGCCGCCGCGTGGCAGCGTCGTGTCACGGAGGGAATAGCGGACGTTGAAGGGAACGGCTGGATAGAGGCGCATGGTCTCGTTGAGGACGGCGTTCAGGTACCTCATCTCCTTGAGGTCGCTGTAGCTGGGTTTCTGGGCCGAGCGCCCGAGACCCAGTCGGGCGCTGATCTCCTCGCGCAGTTTGGCGACGACATCGGGGTTGCGGGCTAGCTCGAAGACACAGAAGGAGAGAGTTACGGCTGTGGTGTCGCGACCGGCGAGGAGGACGGCGACGATCTGGTCACGGAGGACGCGCGGGTCGCGGGTGAAGTGGGCAAGGGCGTCCAGGAAGGTTTCTCGCTTGGAGAGTTTCTGGTCGAGTTCCGAAGGTGTCAGAGAGAGGGCTCGGTTGATGTATGGTTGGATGAAATCGTCCATCACCTTGAGTTCGCGGCGGAATTTCCTCTTCGACACGGCGAAGTTAAACATGCTGATCCCACAACTAGTGTTAGTCACCACGTATCCCGTGTTCGCGAAAGGAAAAGAAGCTTACCCCAGCCGAAAGATCTCGGATTGACAATGCTTCACATATCTGAAGGCCTCTGCAAATCTGGTCTCCGGATTGTGCAGACTGTTTGTGCCCTGGCCGAGGAGATAATCAGTGGCTGCGTCCATGGTGAAGCGGAAAAACAGAGAACCGATATCGACGACGTTGCTCCCACTGGGCGAGCTGCTCCCTGCCAACAGAGGAATCAAGTTTTGAACGTGTTTCTCAAAGACTTCAGTGTCGACGATGCGATCCCGGACAAACATTGGTCGGATGAGATGGCGTGAACGGGACCAGAGCTCACCATCTGTGACGAAGATACTGTCACCTAGAAAGTCTTTCCATTGTTGATGGAATTCCTCGCCTTTCCCATAATCTGCAAATTGTCCCGTAAGAATAGCCTTGATGTTCTCAGGGTCTTTAGTCAGAATGACTCGATGCGTGATACCTCCACTAAGCTCGGCGGTTTTGACGCAGTCAATCTGGCTTGCTCCTTTCGCGTTCAGGATCGCTTGATGCAAAAATTCATGGTCTGTACCGTTGTCGTTGGCCTTGCATGCTCCGTAAAGGAAGTCGATTGCTGTTCCAGCAGTCAGCCATGCGCGAGTCAACGCCAAAGCTCCTTGACTGTTTGCGACAACCTACCATATGGGAAGCGGAAACGAATTCTCGGCGCTGTGTAACCCAGCTTCGAGATTTCCGTCGACACCTGTGCCCTTCGAATCATGCAAGCAAAGAACAAAGCCCCCAGCAGATAGATGGTTGCTATCCCCGGATGTATCTGAGCAAGGAGTTCCTCGATCATCTTGGCAAGTTGCTGAGTCGCAGATGCTCAAATATCGCACATCAAAATCAGACAAGTCATCTGCTGAGAAAAACAGGGAAGAGAGAGTATATAGTCAAATATGCAACCGGTTCAGCAAGATCATATCCATGGGCCGAGCTAGATGCAGGTAACTGGGACACAGTCCCTCGGAGATAGACCGCCAGTTCACAACGTGCATACAAACCACGACGCAATACAGAACCAGACAAGCGACACAATGTCGAGGAAGTAAGCTCATTGGGTCTAGAGAGCGCGTTGATCGAGGGCCATCCATGTGTGGATATAGCAGACTAATGAGTCAATGCTTTTCCTCCACCACAAGCCCGCAAACGGCTAGTCGAGTCTAAATTGACGTCTATCCATTTTAGGTGCACCTCAGTATGCTTGCAAAAACCCCCTTGCAGAAGAATCGACCATTGTCCAGTTACTTCCAGACACTTGGTGGCGGATTTTGAAATGCATGCTAATAATGGTGATCATAACAAGGAATCTCGCTTGTCCGATACTTCATATGCCGCATGTGTTAAAGAGATATTGGCTGTCACTGCCATAACGGAATCACCTCAAGCTAGGGCACCATATCAGAATGGGCCGCGAGGCAATACCCGACATGTATAAACCATGCTTCAAATTGGGTAGCCTAAGAGCCCTTCACTAAGCGCTTGTTGAAAGTGTCATTGTGTCGCTTCATTGAGGGATCCTGACCCAGGAGAGAGGATTGGTGACTGATGCTAACAATTTTGAAACAGCCGTCGAGCTCAGAGAATTTGAGAGAAATCTTATTTCCATTTGAGAGATGATATCTCACCATTTACAAGCTAGAATACCCTGTTGTAATTGTGTAGACGGGGATGTACGCGGAAATAGCACCCGAATCTTAAAGCAGCAAGGCAATAAGGCACCAAAGGGGTATGTATGCATTGTTTGTCATATTGCCAAGCCTCCGTTCACGTGATGATGTGGCTGATGAAATCAGCTTGGCGTTTTGCCTCATCACCCAAAAGTCTCGTAGGATATTCCCAAAACAAGCGACTCGTGCACCTCCTTCTTTGGCCTCTCTTACCAGCTGATCACGATTTTGCATAGGCTGCGATTTGTACTGGGTTCTTCTTGCTATACCGAGAAGCAGATATTATTGCCACAGCAACCCCCTTTGAACGGGTGGCGCGGGAACTATTATTGTACGGCCGTCAATCCTTTGCATCGATCGCATTCAACACCACACGCTCTTCACAATGACCACAGAAATCGCGGCCGGTACCCCTCTGGCAGAGGCCTTGAGCAATGCCATCCAGCCCAAACTTGCGGAAATGGGCTGGACGTCCGATGGCGGCGACGATTCAGCTTTGATTGAATACATTATCCTGATGCTTGTCAACGGCAAAAGCCAAGAACAAATTGCAGGCGAACTCTCCAACGATTTGCTCGGCCTTGGCAGTGAAGGAGATACACAAGCTTTGGAGTTCTCAAGGTGGCTCTTCGAACAGGTCGAAGTCCTTAATCGACAAATCAACGGCGGTGGCACACCGATCGCAAACGAGACTGCACAGGCTATCCCGTCGTTCAACGACCAAACAGCGACTTCGCAAGAGGGTTCTGGAGGAGGAGATCAGGATGCCACTATGAGCATGGTTGATGGCTCGCACACGGATGATTCGATGTGGGTTCCCGCTTTAAGGCATTTGTCACGGACTTCAGCTAACAATGACGGACTCAGACCCACAGGACCGAAGGCGATGCGTGGCGGACGCCAAGGTGGGAGGGGTCGGATGTTGAACCAGATCAACAGAGCTCTAGATCGCAACAGTGACTCAACTTTACACCGTGTCCGCGGTCAACATGGCCGGATCAATTCTCATGGTCGGGACCATACCAAAGGACGGCCTCATCAGAACGGCGGGGGTAGGCGGCAAATGAATACCGGACTGCCCATGGGTGCCGCCCAATCGATGATGAACATGAGCCAGCAAGATCAGATGCACTTGATGTCTCTGCTAGAGGAACAAGCTCGGATGATGGCACAGCTCATGCCAGGATTTGTCTCGCCTGCGATCAACCCAGCGTTTCAGCAAAATAACCAACAACAACAAGGGCGCTCGTTGTTTGACCGTGTTGAACGTCAAGGACGTCCGCATGGTAACTTCTCTAATCGTGCCCAACACCATGGCACCTCGGCAAAATCACCCTCCGACGGCGACATGGATACCAAGCCTGATGGCGCACAGGATGAGAGCAATACCGACAGTGTCTGCCGCTTCAATCTGCGCTGTACCAGAAAAGACTGCCCCTTCGCGCACCAGTCACCGGCCGCCCCGGAAGGCACTCCTGTGGACGTGGCCGATATATGCACATACGGCGCAGCGTGCAAAAACCGGAAATGTACAGGACGTCATCCTTCTCCTGCCGTCAAGTCCGCACACCAGGCTGAGGAGCTCTGCAAGTTCTTCCCCCACTGTACCAACCCTCACTGCTCCTTCAAACACCCCTCAATGCCTCTGTGCCGCAACGGTGCCGACTGTTCTGCGGAAGGTTGCAAATTCACCCATCTTCAAACACCTTGCAGATTCAACCCATGTCTCAACCCAAGCTGTCCTTATAAGCATGCGGAAGGCCAGAAAGGTGCCTTTTCCGACAAAGTCTGGACTGCGGATCAGAACAAGCCCCGTGTCAGCGAGAGGAAGTTCGTTTCAGATGAGGATGCTGCTGAAGAGCTGATCAAGCCGGGTGCTGCAAGCGAAGATGGTACTCAGAACCAGGAAATTATAACGTGATACCCCCGCGAACTCTACGATATCTTCTAATTTCGAACGGTCATACACCGGGCGTCAGTTGAACCTAGAAATTTGATTCAAAACATCTTGTTCAAGATTGATTGACATGTATTATTCTCATTTGTGGACGATGGCAGGCTGGAAGGGCGTTTGTTGATTTTCTCACCGATTCATGGGCAGTGTAATGACAGAATCATCATGTTGGCTTGTAAATAGAATCTGGGTATCATGAATGGTTTCGAAATGCGTCGTACCTAAATTCTCTTCTATCAATGAGCAACTGTAGTCGTACCTCTTGAATATTCGACAGGATTGAGCAACGTCGGTTGTACTGAGGTTTACCATACTTACTGGTAATTTTACCGCCGGGGGTCGGAAGTTGGAGATGGCCTTCTGCATGCTCGTGCCTCACTCAGTCATGCTGTTTCTTCATCTTCCCTTTGATAGTCTTCCCTATATACCATCACTGAGATGCGACTGCCATGTGCCCCTAGCCGTGCACTGAGAGCAGTCCGGACGCCATTGACGTTCGCCCGCAATGGCCAGAAGCACTCACTGCATACTGGCACTTACAACGCTGCGGTTATAGGAGGTGGCATCACAGGTCTCGCGACGGCCTTCCGCTTGTCGCAGGACCCAAAATGCACCAAGATCACTCTGTACGAGAAAGAACAGCGGGTCGGGGGCTGGATGATGTCGCAGACCGTCCCCCTCGGCGACAATGATGGGAAAGTTGTGTTCGAATATGGGCCAAGGACCCTGCGGGCTGCGACTCCCGCGTGTCTCCCACTTCTTGACTTGGTACGGGAAAAACATACTCCTCTGGTAGTATCCTGATAGCTAACCTTTTTGTTCTAATTTTGTCTCGCAGCTGGTCGAGCTAGAACTACTCGAGGATGTGTTGATCACGAGCAGGTCCTCCCCCGCGGCCCAAAATCGCTACATTTACTATCCCGATCACCTTGTTCGCATGCCGGGCCGGGATCCCAGCCGTAGCCAGTTCTCAGAACTCTACTCGAACTTTCGGGCACTGCTTACGGAACCTGTATTTGACAAACTCGTGCGAAGTGTCTTGACAGAGCCATTGAAGCTGCCCCCGGAGCACAAGTCTCTTGATTCCGACGAGTCTGTGAGGGAGTTTATTTCTCGGCGATTTGCCCCCGAGATCGCAGACAACATAGTCTCAGCCGTGTATCATGGTATATACGCCGGCGATATTGACCGGCTGAGTGCGCAGACCCTGCTGGGAACCTACAGGGACCTTGAGCATGATGACCGCGGCGTGCTTGTGGGCCTTTTACATGCATCCACCCTTGATATCACGTACAATCTGATGGATGATTGGCTGGCGCTACACTCGCAGGCTGCGACAAAGCAGAAGAGCTATTGGAGTAGTCTGAAGACGCTGGTCAGAGACGCTAGTGTTATCACGTTGAAAAACGGCGTGCAGCAGCTTACTGATGCCTTGGCTGCGGCGTTACGCAAATGCAGGAAAGTGGAGTTATTGACTGGTACAGAGGTGAAGGCTATTAGCACAAATCCAGTCAACTCTGATCTGACCGTAAGTGTAACTTTTTTGAGCTATAGGTAACTAGATAAGTTCGAGGCTAATACGCTTGGTTACAGATCCACTTCGGAGAGAAGAAGTCAAATACCCATAACCGTGTGATTGCAACGAATCCGCCCCCCAACCTGGCACAGCAGTTGGCCAAGCCTACGAGGTCGGGACAGAAGTTGCCTCAAAACTCGATTCGCCAACTGCAAGAACACAACTACGCCGTGAGTGTGATGGTTGTCAACCTTCTGTATGAGAATCCCAATCTACTCCCTGTCAGCGGATTCGGCTACTTGATCCCGCGGTCGGTTCCATTCGAACAGAATCCCGAGATGGCCCTAGGTGTGATCTTCGGTTCCGACTCTAGTGTAGGTCAGGACACTGCGCCGTGTACCAAGCTCACCGTAATGCTGGGCGGGCACTATTGGGATGGTTGGAAAAAGACAGACTACCCAGACGGGGAGACCGCCATTCGGATGTGCCAAACCCTGCTCCAGAGACATCTTGGCATCACCGACCAGCCTCTCCAGGCTGCTGTCAAAATGCAGCATCAAGCTATTCCCCAGTACACGGTCGGTCATCTATCACGCATGCGGGACCTTTCACAAACAGTGCGCCAGGACTTCAATAATCGGTTGACTCTTGCTGGAAATTGGTATAATGGCGTGGGGGTGACGGAATGTGTTCGGCAGGCGTACATGGCTGCGTCGTACGGTGTTGGCGCACTTAAGCTCGATGCACCGAGTAGTGATGTCCCGTGGATAAAGTACCACTGGCAGGACTGGGAATTAGAGGGCGGTATACCGACCTCTCCTGTGCGAATGGCCGAGACGTTTAGGGCGGAACGCAATCATTTCCTCTAGTTAGTGTTGGGGCAGCCTTGCCCATGCACAATTGTACAATATGCGCTATCTTGCAAATAGAAAGAATAATGGAATGACCATTGAATGCACTAAAATGTTTCCTAGTCTGTAATTTGATGACTATCGGGCATTTGAACACATTGGTACGGATGGGTGGGTGATCTGCGGACGAGTCAACTTGAGATAATCACTCTTCATCATTGACCATACCGACCCAGCAAAGCTCGAGTTGGTTCAATTGACGCTGATTCGGACGAGGACGCATTGTCGTCGTCTGCCGATAATCCCTTCTCGAATCGGTGATGGACGTACGGCGCCTGGGAGACGAGGCTGTAATTGCTGCCCGAGATAAGACACCTGTAGTCACGGCCATATACATATTGTCCAGCAGCCATGTATGATAGCATAGCATATTGAGGGAAGACTCTGCAGCGATTTCAGAGTTAAGATGTCGAGTGCTGCTGAGATACTCGAACAGTGGTACGCAGTCCGTTCTGTGAATTCAGAGAGCAGGTTGCCGACAGTTTCATTCAGACACCCTCCTTCTCCTTCTCTTCGGTAGAATCTTTCTTGTCGCCATTAGCATCAAAGCCGAGTGCATCAAGCTGACGAATCAACTCCTGGATCTTGATCACTTTCTCCAACTGCTCGGGCAGCAGCGCCTCGCCCTGGTTCTTCTTGTCACGCAGATCGCGCGCCTGCCTGAGCTTTTTCTTCAGGTTCCGTGCTTTCTTCTCCTTCTCCGCTTCAGGATCGACTTCCGGCTGCGCCTCAGCGGTAGAGTCTTTCTTCTCAGCAGCGGACGCACCCGAACGCCAGTTTTCTAGATCCCGCACATTTGGCCCGTTGCCCTGTGTAGATGTCGAAGTCAACTCAGATTCCTGCGCTGCCTTGGCCTTTTTCTTCGCCTCTCGCCGCTTCGCGTTCTTGTTGCTGGCCGCTGTGTTGGCTTTGTTTTCACTTGCCTCGCTCAACCCCTCCGCGCCTGGAACCCCGCCAGAACCACGGTTTCGCCAAGCCGCTGCGGCACGGTTCTTGTACAGTTCGACATCTTCTGGTGGACGGTAACCTGGTCGAACTCGGATCTCGCGACGCTTGGAACCGTCCGGGCGGACAGAAGAGGGGATGAAACGTTCCCCGGTTAGGGCGTCAGTGGTGATGCCGGAATTCGTGGACGCCATTATGGCTTAGCCTAGCAGGTTTGTAGTAATTGCTGGCAAGTTGATGATCGAGATAATTCTGCTGTAGCAGAGAGAGTGAGCTTAGAAGGAAGACTATCGAATGAAGCGTTGGTGTTGATTGTTGAGCGAGAAATGCTAAAGGCGGACACCCGGAGGCTCTGCGTGAGTCTTGTTCCGGCCGACCAATCAGCGACCCGGTGATTCCCGCTGCTGCTTTTCGCGCCGGCTCGAAACTTCAATTCAACCTCTCCGTTTGGCAGTACCTCGCTCATCTGCAACTGGCTTTGCTCGTCTTCCTGTTTTTCTCGCCCTCCTCCCATCTAATTCATCCACAGTCACAATGGCCGGCGCTGTAAGTACTGCTGAAGTTGACCCATGAATGGTGAATGTGCAATTGACTAACTCCGGACCCTCCAACACAGATCGCTTCCGCCATCTACCAGCATGTCTCCCTGCCTTTACCTGATTTCTTGACGACGACTTTCCAGCATCGCTAACCTAGACTACTTTTTACGATTGACAGGGGCCTGATCCGCAGAAACGCGGTATACCTGACCACCATCTTTGCCGGTGCCTTCGCTTTCGAGATGTACGTTTGAAACCCGATTGGACCCGAAGATACACAATCGTTGACAATACTATCCGAGTAGGGTCTTTGACACTGCTTCCAACAAGATCTGGGATACCATGAACCGCGGTGTACGTTACCTTCGTCGATACCTGTCCCTTTGTGAGATAAATGCGGAACGTTTGACTGATGAGTATACACGTTACAGCGGCAATGGAAGGACATCAAGCACCTTTACATGAACAAGGAGGAGGAAGAAGAAGACTAGAGACGCGGATGCTCGCTAGATGAATAGAGATGCAGCACCAATTCTCATCAGATGCATCCTCGGGGGATGTTGCCTGATGCCTATGTTATATTACTGCTGAGTACAGAGGGGGAATTGTTGTTATTATTTTCGGCCCGATTGTATGCAATAGAATTTGGAAAAGCTGTAATCAACCCTTCATCCTTTTTCTTTGAAAAGTAGAAAGCTGTCTATCAAGTCCCTTTCTAGTGGGGAGAAGATGCGCGAATGGGGATTCAGTGGCGGCAAAAGACATCCAGCGGTCACCCGCTGTTTGCGTGCGGCAACGCAATCATAACAGCTACTGCTCATCTTCAACAGCCTCGGGTTTGCTTCTTCCTGTTATAGTATCTTTTTGGCTGTCTTCATAGCTTTGATCTTGTGGACTTACAGAGGAAGAGTCTCATGGTCTGAAGCTCTTATTGGTGAGTTTGATCTCTACCTGCAGCTGTGTTCTGTCCGGCTTACCAGAGCTCTTCGCCCCGCCGAGGTGACAGTCATATCTTCTCTTCCGATATTCTAATTCACTCGCCAACTAATACATTTATTTTTGTTTTGAGTTTAGGTTTACGCTATCTCCAGATCTTCTTGTTCCATATACCGTCTGTTTGTCTGTCTATATTAGCGACCTTCACGACGTCAACGCTTTCCTGCCAATTATCTATCATACGCAGTGGAACCTTTGGAATCGCCCTCATTGTCCCGCCGCACGGAACTTCGTTTCACCAAACCGACTCTACGCAGTGCTCACTCCCGCTTTGGGCAGCTGAATGAGAGTTGGTTCTACATTTATATCAAGCTGAATGATGCTCACGGAATGTGAGAGGAAACTTGGTGAAGGCCTCCTTCGGCTTCCCTTCGAACACGGTTGTCGCTATGGACCTGAGGCCGAGCGAGATCTGCTCGAGCTCCTCTTTCGTTCGCTAGTAGGCTTCGATGAAGACCGTTTACGCCAGCTCTTCCCGAACGGGTTTCCGGAAGGACCATGGAAGCTAGCGGAAGCGCAAGGTGCTCAAGAAGGAGCAGAGTACACAGAAGCTGCGCGGGGGAAACGATGCGGTCATATTTTCCGGGCCGGGGAGGCAACGTATCGATGCGTTACCTGTGCCGTTGATGATACGTGCGTCCTGTGTAGTAAATGCTTTGACGCTTCCGACCACTCGGACCATCAGTACCAGATCTCATTATCGTCGGGTAACTGTGGTTGCTGCGACTGTGGCGACGATGAAGCTTGGCGGTATCCTTTGTTCTGCGCAATTCATACCGACCGCGGCGACAGCAAGGGCAAGCAGCGCGCTCAGACTCACCTGCCCTCGGATTGGGCAGAAAATATCAGACTTACGATTTCCCGAGCGATGGACTATTTTTGCGATGTCATTTCGTGCTCTCCGGAACAACTGAGATTACCCAAGACAGAGGATGGCATAAGACAGGATGAAGTGGCATCCCGACTTACCGGAGATTGGTACGGTGGCGGAGATCAGGCTGAGGAAGAACCAGAATGGGCTTGTGCCCTCTGGAATGATGAGAAACATACTATTCGGGACGTGGCTAATCAGGTCGCTCGGGCTTGCCGGGAACGAATTCGCTTTGGTGAGAAGAAGGCCTATGAAACCAATGATATTGGGAGGACTGTGGTCAGACAGTCCAAGGACTTGTCCCAACTGCTTAAGGTATCCCAAGTCCTCGAGCAGATCAAGGTTACGACTACAGTGCGATCTGCTCGCGATACATTTCGCGAGCAAATGTGCGGAACTATTGTCGAATGGCTTTCTGATATTGCGGGGTGCACCGTGCTGGAAGACGATCAGATTTTGCGCCATGTAATCTGCGAAGAGTTCCTCAGTCCTTGGCGACAAGGCAGTGGTGCCTATAACGCCAGTATTGGATTGAAAGGCATCGATGATCACGCGAGACAGGAGCATTCACCATACCGCACGCTAATGCTGGCGGCCGTCGCTCCTCAAGGTCAAGTGATGTTCGCGCCTGAAGCGGACCTTGAAGATGATGAGGATGACAATGGTAATGGTAATGACGAAGGCGAAGGCGATGATGACGAGGATCATGCCGAGACCCATGAAGATGCGGACGACGAGGATGAGGAGATGGAGATCGATTTGAACAGACTGCGAGAAGAGGTGGAGGAAGATGAAGATATGGTCATGGGCAATGCTGATGACACAGTACCCTTCGAAATCGCTGCGAGCCTCCTCGAGGATCTGCGTCAAAGGCGGATGGCACTGATAGATGAGCAGGAACGGCGGGAACGAGAAGAACTGCAAGCGCAGCAGGAACAGTCTCGAGCGCAGGAGGCACAACAGACTCAGCACGACATGCATCCGGCCGGTGAAGAGCACAGTGCTGACGACACTGGCGAATGCGCTGACATCTCCACCGTTGCCATTCCTAAAACTCCCTCCGGGGTGGTCAAGCCTCCTCCGGCCAGGGCGCCGGGGTATTGGCTGACTCGGCCTGCTGGCTTTTCGTTCAGGGAGAACGTACCTGTCTACGAGGACTTTTATCAGCGTACGCGACTGGACTGGATGATTCTATTCGATCTGAGATTGTGGAAGAAAACGCGCACCGATCTTCGCGATCTTTACATCGGCACCGTGGTCAGTGTTCCGCAATTCAAACGAATCTTGGGCCTGCGCATGTCGGCCCTCTACACCGCATTGGCGCAATTGTACCTCATTGCCGATAGAGAACCAGATCATTCTATTGTGAACCTTTCCTTACAGATCCTCACGACACCGTCAATAACTGAAGAGATCGTGCGGCGTGGAAACTTCCTGACCAAAGTGATGGCTATCCTGTACACGTTCTTGACCACAAGACAGGTGGGCGAAGCATATGAGGTCAATCCAAACGCAACATTGGCGTTTGACGCAGGTACAGTCACCAACCGGCGCCTTTACCACTTCTTCCTGGATCTGCGTTACCTTTTGCAATCCGAGTATGTACA